AGTTCGGCAACGGCAAGAAAACTCGGCAGGGAAGCATTTTAGAGAAAAATGTTTCAAATAAAAGTTGTAAGGCTTAAAAAGTCGCATTTAATGACAGTAGTTATTTGACCTAAGATGACGTCGCCAAGGTCAGGACAAGGTCAACTTTGCTTTTTTAAATAGAAATACATATTTTTTATTACGGGATTTTATTCTACGTAAAAAAGCAAACAACTTTTGCTTGAAAAAATTTTTTATACGACCTCTATTTTCTAAGATATTTACGTAAATATCTACAAAATTATTGATTTCAATAATTTTTTACTTGAATTTTATCAACTTTACCAAAAAATATCAAGAGATAAAAATTATTTATTTTGTTCTCATAGAGCTCTGAGAATTTTTTCAGAATTTTATATTAATTTTTTTAGCACTGTATTTTCTTGCATATTTTTGAAGTACTAAAAAGTTAACACAAAATTCTGAAAAAATTCTCAGAGCTCTTTGAAAACAAAATAAGCAATTTTTATCTCTTAATATTTTTCGGTAAAGTTAATAGAATTCAAGTAAAAAATTATTGAAACCAATAATTTTGTAGATATTTACGTAAATATCTTAGAAAATAGAGGTCGTATAAAAATTTTTTCAAGCAAAAGTTGTTTGCTTTTTTACGTAGAATAAAATCCCGTAATAAAAAATATGTATGTCTATTTAAAAAAGCAAAGTTGACCTTGTCCTGACCTTGGCGACGTCATCTTAGGTCAAATAGCTACTGTCGTTAAATGCGACTTTTTAAGCCTTACAACTTTTATTCGAAACATTTTTCTGTAAAATGCTCCCCCGCCGAGTTTTCTTGCCGTTGCCGAACTTATGGGACACACTGTATATAATGATACATATTTGACACGACCAAAAGAAGATAATACTTATGTACTTGAAAGCTACTTGTAGCATAAAATCGTAAAGCTATTAAAAGCTGCAGTACTGGAGAAATCGGCAGGCCGCGATTATTGTCTCGCTGTAGCTGTTCATTTACGAGAGGTAACAAATTCTCAATCACAAATCCTTTATTAAATCTATATCACTTTTTAAAAGCTTCATCTTCGTAAAATTCAAAAGAATTTTCTCTGTCGCGAAAATATCTTTTTGGTAAACACCATCTAAAATAATTGTCCTCATTATCAAATTCATCGTCCGAATCATTTAAAAATTCGTTATGCATCTTTCTTATTCTTTGCAATGCAACAATCACTATCGATATTCTACACACACGCAAAAACAGACACTTTTGTACGTTATGTTATTACGTCTTCTGTTTATAAGGTTGCAGTTGCCGTTTCAAGGAAGCTCGCGACTACCCTTGAGATAAGGTGACCAATAAGGTTCCTTGTTTGGACAAGGAAAATCTATGAAACGCGGATGAGCCAATGAGGAATTATTATTCCTGAAGGAACATCTATGAATACGGGCATTAGAATTGCCGCTAGCGGTCTATGGTTATATAGTCAAAGGCTCCTACGCACTCTGATTGGTCTGCGTGGTGATGTAAACCAATCAGAGTGCGTTGGAGCGAGTAGGAGCACGTTGAGGCATGCGACGCGAACAAACCTTGCAAGAGCAGGAGCAAGAGCAGACCATAGAATATTACAGTTATAGATAGGCGTTTTTTCGTTTTGTAACCGCGGTAACGTTTGATTGGTTAGTTTGGTCCATTTAACTCTCGCAACACCACGAGCGTCATTCTATCTTTTAGCATATTCGACTGGCTCTGGGTTAACCCACTCTGGATTATTCAGCCTACGTTTATTAGTCAAACAAGTACTTATAAGCTTTATGATTGGCTAGTAGAGACTTATGACGTCATTAATCGCTTTCGGAGCGATTAACCCAGGCCCAGTCGAACACTCTATTGCTGCTCGAGGCGTTGCGAGCGTTAAATGGACCAAACCAACCAACCAAATGATATCGTGGTCATGAAACGGAAAAACGCTTTATACTATTCGTTCGGATCCAGATCTCACCCGCTCTACTCTCGTTATCGTAAACCCACTGAAATATATACTACCTGGAATGCGCGTTATCTCTTGAGTATTGCGGGATGAGAGAAAGCATGCTTGTAGGTCTCGAAGCGCTTTGTCTTTGTCTAGTATCTTGTCTTTGTTTTTGTCTGAATCAAAAGCTAAGTCGGCTGATTTTTAAGCATAAGCTGAATCTCCGAATTAGGAACCATCTTTGCTTTATTTTTCTTAATAATAAGTCGATAAGTGAATACTAATTATTGAAAAAAAAAATATATATTTTTTATATCTTAAACTTTCGTTCATAAGCTTAAGTCATTGTCATTTAATGGTCACTACTTTTCATATTGGTCCATATTCTGAATCCTTTTTTATCTTTGAAAGTGCCTCTAAAAGAGGCTTAGGAGCCATTTGATTGGCTGAAAAGCTACATTTAAGGCACTTTTTTCGATAAAAGAGGATTCAGAATATGGGTTATAATCTCTAACTTTTAACTTGGATTGTGTCACATTCTCCCCACTCTCGACTGTACTATGAACCAGACAAAAATAAGAGAGGAAACAAGGAACCTCTCTCTCATCCCGCATACCTCAAGAGACAGCGTGCGTTCTAGGTAGTATATATTTCAGTGGTGTGTGACGTTAAATGTGTGACGTGTCAGGACCAGCGCACGAACATTGCCGTAGCTCCTTCTTACGTGACAACCTTACGTTACGTGAGCTGAACGTACGGCAACGCACGAAAATTTTACGTTACGTTACGTTACGGAAGAACATAGAGATTCTGTGACAAAGGTAATTAAATCAGATTATTGAACAATAAAGTAAAGAAACAATAATAATTTATCTTTACAGCCATAATTAGAAATGTCTATATTGAGCACATATTAATTTTATTATTATATATATTTTATGTTTATATAATAAGAGATATATAATATATGAATAAATAAATAAATAAATAAATAAATATATATATATATATATATATATATATATATATATACAGGG